TTTTACTGTTTTATCAGGGACTCAGCACTGCATCTAAATACAGATCAAATACAAAAGAACAGGATAATGAATAAGAATATAAACTGTACAATGTAGAATTTAAAATGCATGTATGTTGAATGGTGAAAATGTGAATGCTACCTCATGAAAGAGTATTGTTGAGAAATTAGCATTAAGTGAGACATTTTGATGAGAAAAATACACCTTAAATAATCTAGTACAAAATTGTAATATTGCATGAATATATATACATAATCTATAATTGATATTAAATTAATTAGTTTTCACAGACAATAAACAGAATTCTTCTAAAATCTCCTAGCATCTCTTTCTGTTTTGCTTTGGTGTGACCTTTGTTGATTAAATGTGACATATACATCCTTTGTGATTTTTCGTGTCTTTGAAATGTCTCTCCTTTCCAGACTTACCCTGTTCTGGTTATATGTTGTTGTATACTCAGTTTCCACTCAGGTTTTGTGATTGGGAAATATCGAGGAAGTTTGTTCAACAATTTCCTCGAATGAAAATAATTAATTATTTTTTTTTGAAAATTCCCGAATTCTATGTTTGATTCAGGAAATCTAAGAATCTGCTGTTATATGCTACTTTACTTAATGAAGTCATATCATTTAATTGTTGGTCACCTAGGCTTAATTTAGCTTAGCTTGCAACACTGTATATATTATTGGCAGATTGCACAATGTATGCTTGACCCATCAGAAAAACCCATACATTGTAGACTACGTCATGATTAGATTTTGGTAAATTTGTGCATGTTTGCAACTCGTGACCCAAGCTGATGATGTGTTGAGGAAATCTCCAAACTACTCTTATAATATAACACTTAAGACTCTTAGGGATTCCATGGTTCTAGTACACATTTTATTTAATAGTGACATTTTTATTGCTTAGTCTTGATGTTATGATAGGCAGGTTGAAACCACTTCTTCTATCATGTAAGCTTCTTGGAAAAAGTAAATTATAGTGTAAACATAAATGTTTTCTGCCACAAATAAAATAAATATACCCTGTAACAAAGTTGTTACACGTGTGCCTTATGTGTTATTCATACTTGTTTCTTTATCTATGATATTTATGACCCAAGGTTTCACTGTTGTTGAGGCTATAAATAGAACTTAGCATCACACAAGCATGGCAAAGTAAAAAAAATAAAAACTGATGCCATAATCAAAATTTGTATCCTTTGAGTCTGGTATGGTCTTACTAATGCTACCATACTTTCCTTTTTTTCTGTCTCTTACCATTGTTGCAGCTGAGTTTAGAACCCCCCATCTTTTTCACAGGGTTCTGTTGCCTTTGTTTGACAGTTCCATTTCCAATTCCACTGTTCTCTCCTAGAACCTCTCCATTTCCAATTCCACTGTTCTCTCCTAGAACCTCTCCATTTCCAATTCCACTGTTCTCTCCTAGAACCTCTCCATTTCCAATTCCAATGTTCTCTCCTAGAACCTCTCCATTTCCAGTTCCACTGTTCTCTCCTAGAACCTCTCCATTTTCAATTCCAATGTTCTCTCCTAGAACCTCTCAGTTCCATTTCCAATTCCAATGTTCTCTCCTAGAACCTCTCCATTTCCAATCCCAGTGTTCTCTCCTAGAACCTCTTTTTTTTTTTTCTCTGACACAAACTTTATTCTTAACTGCTCACAATTCTCTGTTTTTATGATTCTGGACATCTTTTTCTTTAGTAGGACATCATTTGGTTCTTTGAAGTAGGTATTAGGTTCTGTTGTGTCATTGTTTCTCATTCTGTCTTCTTCAGCTTCTCTTCCATCAAGGTGTCATTGCTTCTCATTTTGTCTTCTTCAGCTTCTCTTCCATCAAGGTGTCATTGCATCTCATTCTGTCTTCTTCAGCTTCTCTTCCATCAAGGTGTCATTGCATCTCATTCTATCTTCTGCTACTTCTCTTCCATCAAGGTGTCATTGCTTCTCATTCTGTCTTCTGCTACTTCTCTTCCATCAAGGTGTCATTGCTTCTCATTCTGTCTTATTCAGCTTCTCTTCCATTAAGGTGTCATTGCATCTCATTCTGTCTTCTTCAGCTTCTTTTCCATCAAGGTGTCATTGCATCTCATTCTATCTTCTGCTACTTCTCTTCCATCAAGGTGTCATTGCTTCTCATTCTGTCTTCTGCTACTTCTCTTCCATCAAGGTGTCATTGCTTCTCATTCTGTCTTCTGCTACTTCTCTTCCATTAAGGTGTCATTGCATCTCATTCTGTCTTCTTCAGCTTCTTTTCCATCAAGGTGTCATTGCTTCTCATTCTGTCTTCTGCTACTTCTCCAATGACACCTTGATGGAACTTCTCATTCTGTCTTCTGCTACTTCTCTTCCATCAAGGTGTCATTGCTTCTCATTCTGTCTTCTGCTACTTCTCTTCCATCAAGGTGCCATTGCTTCTCATTCTGTCTTCTGCTACTTGCTTCTATTAAATTATGCTTTCTCTTAATTTATGTTTGGCATCTGTCAATGATTTCTTACAAATTGGTTTTCAAAAGCCATTATGTAACTCTTTGAGTGTGAAGTATAATATTCATATATTTTTTTATCTATTATTCTTCCTATCACAATCTTTACTTACAGTTGTATTTGGTAATATCTTTTCCAGGCAGTTAGGTCATTATTTAACCTTTTGAGGAATCATTCCATGGTTTAAGAGATCAATTCTGGTTGGTGATCATATGGAATTATTCCCCTTATGGGGATCTGATCTTTGTCACAAATAGGACTAAAAAGTTTCTTTGAATAGTTTATTTAGTGACAGTTAAAATGTTAAATTGATTTTTTTGGTTAAACTTGTGGAACTTTTTTGACTAAAATACCCAAAAGGTTGCAATTTCTCATGAATGAATGGATCATTTTTATCATCATTTCCCTGGTGTCATTTTCTTGTCTGCACATACAGTGCTAGCTGCAGAGCCTGCATACTTATGAATCAGGATTGGATTTGGGAATCTAGCTCTTCTGAGAGAACGAACATTCAAGATTTTTATTCCATAGTTCTGTGACAACGAATGTTATATCCCCAACTCATTAAACATGTTGAAAGCTTCCAGTCATTAAAAATTATCTTGACACTGAGCCACTGCAGTGAGCTGTACATTACAATGTCAATTCATAATTTTGTTGTTTTTATTTAAAATGAGAGCAAGCTATCAGGGGCAGCTGATTCGCTGAACCCCCACGAAGATGTACCCTTTAAACTCTTCATTTGAGATTACATTAATTTATTATAGACCTATGAATTTGTTCATTCCTTCGATTTTGCCTTATATTGTGAAAAACAAATATCTGTGATTATTGTGCCTTCACAAGACTGGGTTGTCACCTATTTAAATACCAAATGATTTTTCAGGTTCTTGGGCAACATTGGCACAAAATTTAGTAAATCTCTGTGAGTTCATGTAAAGTTCTTTATTGTCCTAGAAGTAATCAGGTAGAATTTTAAGTTTCCTTCTGATTTTATAGATTATATAGATATAATAGGATCCTATTATATAGGATCTTTGTAAGGATAGTGACCTTTCAATGGGATATCAAAAATCTTAAAATGTAAATCATACCCTATAACTCTAGAACCCCCCCCCCCCCAAATTTTTTGGGGGTTGTTGTTGTTTTAGTCTTAGTTTTACACTGCAGTCAACATAACATTTGACATTTTTTTTTCATATGGCTTTGAATGGTTTTACAGGATAATGCAGAATCCAAAAATAAATTAACTTAATTTGAGTATTTTCTTAGCATATTATCCAAAAAAACCTTTCATTTTTTACTGCTTGTTATTGTAAAATCTTCATTCACAAATCCCTCTAGGTGAGATCTCCTACCCCCACTCCCCTCCACCTCTAATAACAAATTAATTTTCATACATAATTTTTGTAAGAACTGGTTGAAAACACACAAAACGTATTTTTAAGGTTATTTTGTAGAATCTTCATTTGGTTGAATGAGGTCGTATTGAATCTATATTTAATTTTACAATTAAACAAATCCTAGTATCATTTTTTTTTTTTGTTCATCCACTTTGTAATAATGGATATTATTGCTCTTCAAGCAATCACTCCAGCTTCTAAAAAATAATAAAAGATGTCACTATGAGTAATACAAGATTTCTGGAACTTTTCACTATTAAAACCATTTATACTTTTTCCCTGTTCTCACAAAATTAGGTTACTAACAGTATCTGTATTACTGCTCAGTTCGATTGCTCGATTGAAAAATGTTCATTAACATTGTCTTTGGAATATGTTTTCACGATCTCATTTCCAATTTTACCTGTATTGGAACAAAGAAAGATCTCAGATGGCATCGTTTGTAACAAACTAACTTACAGAATTCAGTCTTCAAAAAACTCATTTCACATATTTAGTTCTGATGGTAAATACCTGCAGACATGAATGAATTTCAAAGTGTAAATTAGAAAATGATAAATTCTAATTAACATGTTTACTGCTGTATAGCAAATTTAGCATAAAAAATTAAACATCCAAGAGGTGCCAAGGAGCCGTAAGTGCCCTAAACTCGTATACCACAAGAGAAATTTGGCTTTGAAACATAATTATATGTGACCCACTGGTGTGTCATTTGATCCATAACTAAAAGTTGGTTGTGACCCACCAGTGTGTCACATGGCAATGAAGTGTTAAGATTTTTGTTTGTCTGTTAGACATATATGTATATATGAATAGATGGTCAAAAATGTTAATAACTCACACCAAGTTCTAAATTGTAAAGTAGCCATATTTAATATGGGAGAAATAAATTTTTTTTATATTATTTATATGTTCTAGTGACATCTATATATTCATTGTGGAGGAGTAATGCTTATCATTAGACAGATAAGACAGATATTCCAGTAAGTCAAGATAAAGAGGGTAAAATCCCTCATTACTATTCACATAGAAAAGGGTTATAATTTTATAATTGTGAATAATTTTTATGACAGTAATGTTCACCCTGTAAGTTTTGATATGTAAGGTACAATTTCATGCAGAATCATGTGTTCACTCTGTAAGTTTTGATATGTAAAGTACACTTGCATCTTACAGGGTGAACATATCATTCTGCCATATCATTCTGCATGCAAGTGTACTTTACATATCAAAAACTCTGTAAGTTTTGATATGTAAAGTACACTTGCATGCAGAATGATATGTTCACTCTGTAAGTTTTGACAGAATGATATGTTCACTCTGTAAGTTTTGATATGTAAAGTACACGTGTATGCAGAATGATATGTTCACTCTGTAAGTTTTGATATGTAAAGTACACTTGCATGCAGAATGATATGTTCACCCTGTAAGTTTGATATGTAAAGTACACGTGTATGCAGAATGATAGATCTTGTAAAGCTGCTGTAGAAAACATT